CCATTTGGCTCAGTGGATAGAGTGTCAACCTGTGGCCTGAAGGGTCCTGGGTTCAATTCCCATCAAGGGCTCGTACCTCAGTTGCAAGCTTGAGCCCCAGCCCTGGTCCCGTACGTGCAGGAGGCAACTAATCAATGTGTCTCTACCAACTCTCTGTCTCTCTCCCTCCCTTCCACTATCTCTGAAAATAAATGGGAAAATATACTCGGGTGAGGATTTACAAAACTAACTAAATAAATAAAGGAGTCTTATTTGTTTTTCTAAAAGGGGTAAATCCCCACAGTTAGTGAGTGAGGATCTGGATTTTAATGCTTGCAGCCTGACTCCTCCCTACCACTGGCACACTGGGTCTTCTGCTGTGACTTCCCCTCTAACTGGATTGGGGGAAGGCAGGAAAAATCCCGGTCCTTTCCCACAGAGCCTCAGCCAGTGATGCTGCTTCCGGACGAGAAGGGCAGCCTAAAGCCCGAAGCAAAGCCAGCTGCAAGGCCCTCCCGTCCCTCCAGCCTCCTCGCAGCTCCCCAACAGTCCAGGCCCTCTGCCTCCAGGACCGGAGGTGTCCCCAAGGAAACTCAGGTGAGTGCTGCCCTCTCTCAGGGAAGAAGGGAATGGGGCTTGGAGACAACTGCCTTTCCGGCATGATCCATAGATGAAAGAGAGAGAGAGAGAGAGAGAGAGAGAGAGAGAGAGAGAGAGAGAGAGAGAGAGAGGAGAGAGAGTGCTGCATCCAAAGCCCACAGGACAAGACAGAGCAAGAGCCTCCTGAGGAGGGTGTGAGTGGAGGTCGGAGCCAGCCAGCCCACCTGAGGCCGGAGAAGGGTGGGCCTGGCAGGCTGGGCAGAGATCTGGCCTCTCCCACCACGGAGGCCCCTTAGCAAAGTATCTCTGCTCTTGGGTCAAAGCTGAGAAGTAAGTTGTGTGCTGTTTACTCACAGTTGGAATGTTCACCTTCCCTTTCTTGCCTCTTCAGACCCAGGATCTTTCCCCACAGCCTCCTGGTCCCGGTGCCCTGCGGCCTGGGGGACGGGACACAAAGCTGTTTTCCAAGTCTCCTTTCTCCTCCAACACGCTCTTCTCCCCACCAGGCATCTGCGGGTCCTGATGTCAGTCACGGCCAGCATGGAGTCCGGGCCCCCCAAGGGGGTCACTGCAGGGCCTGCCAGTGACCCTGGAGAGATCCACAACTGGACTGACCTGTTCTACTTCTTCAACCACAGTCTGCCCGAGTGCCACGTGGAGCTCAGCGAGAGCACCAAGCGCGTGGCCCTCTTTGTCCTCTACCTGGCCATCTTCGTGGTCGGGCTGGTGGAGAACCTCCTGGTGATCTGTGTCAACTGGCGCAGCTCGGGCCGGGCGGGGCTGCTGAGACTCTACGTCCTCAACATGGCCGTAGCGGACCTGGGCATCGTCCTGTCTCTGCCCGTGTGGATGCTGGAGGTCACGCTGGACTACACCTGGCTCTGGGGAAGCTTCTTCTGCCGCTTCACCCACTACTTCTACTTTGCCAACATGTACAGCAGCATCTTCTTCCTGGTGTGCCTCAGCATCGACCGCTACGTCACCCTCACCAGCGCCTCTCCCTCCTGGCAGCGCCACCAGCACCGAGTGCGGCGGGCGGTGTGTGCGGGCGTCTGGGTGCTCGCGGCCATCATTCCGCTGCCCGAGGTGGTCCACATTCAGCTGGTCGAGAGCTTCGAGCCCATGTGCCTCTTCCTGGCACCTTTTGAAACCTACAGCACGTGGGCCATGGCGGTGACCCTGTCCACCACCATCCTGGGCTTCCTGCTGCCCTTCCCTCTCATCACAGTCTTCAATGTGCTGACGGCCTGGCGGCTTAAGCGGGCAGGACGGCCTGAGAGCCGGCGCCACTGCCTGCTGGTGTGCGCCTACATAGGCGTCTTTGTCGTCTGCTGGCTGCCCTACCATGTGAACCTGCTGCTGATCTCACTGCATGGGACCCACATCCACCTCCACTGCTACCTGACCCACCTGCTCTACTTCTTCTATGATGTCATCGACTGCTTCTCCATGCTCCACTGCGTCCTCAACCCCATCCTTTACAACTTCCTCAGCCCGAACTTCCGGGACCGGCTGCTGAGTGCTGTGGTCCACTACCTTCCCAAGGCCCAGCCCAGGGCGGGCAGACGTGCCTCGTCTTCCTCCTCCTCCACGCAGCATTCCATCATCATCACCAAGGAGGGCACCGAGCCCACTGCAGCGGGCCCCCACCACCCCAGCCTGCACTCCCAGGCACCAAATCCCTCACCCGTCTCCGCTCCTGGGTCTCTTACAGCCAGCTGAGGTGGGGTCCACTCTCCTCCCTCATGAAGTAGAAAGCTGGAGGTGGAGGTGAGAGATTGGGGGGCGGGGGGGCAGGGAAAAGGGTCAAAGCACTCCTGGTCGACTTGGAGTCTATCTTACACCTTGAGGTGGGGAGAGGGAAAAGGGGTAGAGAGGGATAAAGAATGGGTCCTTGGTGTGGTCCTATGTGTCTCAGTCCTTGTGTCTAAGACAGACGCACAGGAAAAAGGGTGAAATAAATAATAGAGACAGCCATGACTCGATCTCTAAAAGTCTGCACTTGCCGCTGTGAGTGGGGAAGGCGGTAAGGCTAAATGGATGCTCAGCAGAAAGGACACGCATTGCAGAAACCACCCTGGCCGGAAGCGTGAGCTCTGCAGGAACCGCTCAAAGCTTTCCTTTGCATGTGTGTGCTTGCTGCTCTCCCAGCGCACCCTGCACCGCGCACCGCGCAGGCTGTGGGGACAAGAGGCCAGAGGCCACGGAACCAGAAGGTCTCAGCAGGACGTTTCCGGCAGCGCACCCTCAGTGCTGTGATAGTGGAGGGAGTGTGGAGGCGGGCGGGGTGAAGCCGAGGTCTGCACAGGCACCCGCAGCTGGGCGGGCAGGATGGCCCTCCACCCCTTCCACCATCCAGGAAGTTCTCCATTTCCTAGCTGACACTCTCCCCTCGCTGGTCCATCCTGTGCCCCACCCCCACCCTCACCCCACCCCCTCTCCGGGAGCAGAGGAGCTGCCCCAGGGTAACAGCTCTCATAGCTAGCCCACCTCCTCCCAGCTTTGGAACTAGGACATTTCGGATCTAAACAAGATGCTATCCAAAATCCACCCCTGTCCCTCCCTTTTTCCCCAGACCGTGGAAAATAACAAGAGACATCCATTCTGGGAGCAGACCCTGGGACAGCCAGCTGCAAGCACTGACAGATGTGTTGTCCCTCAGCCTCTGGTCCCTGCACAGGACAGGCAGCGGAAATTTCCCAATTCGGTCACAGGGCAGGGTTCTGTTTTCTTCTGTCAGTTCCCATCCTTACACTTCTTTCTCCTGCGCCTAGTCTTTTCATGATTTATCTGCCCAGCAACTTACTTCTAGTAACACTTGTCTACAGATAGGACAAGAAGTCCTCTTGGTCAGCGGTCGCCAACCTTTCGGACCTCACGGACCACCAGGGGTCCACAGACCACCGGTTGGCGACCGCTGCTCTTGGTAACAAGCAGGTCTCCTGGAAAGGCGGTCAGTTTGGGACACTAGGACCATGCCCATGAACTTTGACTGAAGCAAAGCCTAAGAGCAGGTTCAAGTCCACTCGTTCCAGGTCCTTGGTCTCTCAATCCTGCGGTGGAGACCGGAGGGCCCGGGGACACAACTGCTGAGACCTCTGTCCTGCCCGGTGCTGTGTCTGGAATGTTTAACTTGGAATAAGCCCCTGACCTGGCACGCTGCCTCCTCTGCTTTCAGAAATCTGAAGCTGCGTTCGGCAGAGGCATCCACATGTGTCCAATGGTGTGTGCCTGTGTGTCAGAAGCAGGGGGCACCTGTATCTATAAGCCCCCTGCTCACTGGGCCCAACCTGAAAGGTTCTTAAGCTATAAACCACTGCTCAGTGGCACAGAGCTGAAGGCTTTCCACCCAGAAGAGTCCAGGGTGTAACCTGGGGTTGCAGTCAGGGCTTAGCCTAGCAGCGCAGATAGCACAGTAAAAGCACTTTCTCCCCTAATGCCCACGTACAAGCCAAGCCGGCATCTGATGCCCATATCACTGCCTCCCCGGACTCAGGCTCCAGAAGTTTCCTAAAGAAAACCCAATTTTCTCTGTCACATCCCAGGCGACCCGAGTCCACTTCCCCGAGGTTGTACTCTTCTCACGGGTTTCACTCTGGCAACCAGTTATCTCCTGGCAGCATATCTCCTGAGGGCCTTGGGAGGAGGGAACAGGCTATGCTGACTGCAGCAAGGCTGCTCAGCTCAGCATTTACTGAGCAGTGACGGGGGCCAGGGCCAGGCAGTGTGCTGAGACCCAATGGACCACATCACACCCTTCCGTCGGGGTACATTTGTTATCAACCTCAGGAAATTATGCCAAACCTCTGCCTCCTCTGTTTGACCTGCCTCTCTCTCCAGTCCAACATACCGCGTCACATGAATTAGATGGCACTGGCAAGACAACTTATGGCCAATTTTCAAGTCCAACTAGACATTGGCTGAGTTCCACTTCACTTTCTGGGCCAACAGAAGATCCCTTCAGGGATGTTCTCCCTGAAGAAGTTGGGTCACTGACTTAATTTCCCACTAAAAATCGGTCAAGCCCTAGCCAGTCTGGCTATGTGGATAGAGCATCAGCCTATGGGCTGAAGGATCCTGGATTCGATTCCGGTCAAGGGCACATGTCTGGGTGTGAGCTCAGTGCCTGGTAAGGGGTGTGTAGGAGGCAGCCAATCCAATCCGTGATTCTCTTTCATCACTGATGTTTCTATCTCTCTCTCTCCCTCTCCCTTCCTCTCTGAAATCAATAAAAATCGATTTGAAAAACAAACAAAAGACCGGTCAACAAGTTAACCCTGGGGAATTCCAGCTACAGGGAAGGAAAAGGTGCTGCTTAAATCTGCTGAGCAGAACGCTGAGACTCAACGGGTGGCCGTCCAGATCTTCCCAACTCCAGGGGTGAGCACGATCACAGTAAACAGGAAAAGAACTCCCATTTCCAATTTCCTTTTTTTTTTATTCTAAATAAAAACCACACTTTGTGCCGAACAATGGAATATAAAAGAATCAGATGTACAACGATTTTAGACATCTACTATTTGGGAAAAAAAGTTTACAAAATATACAAAACTTTACAGCAATAGATAGTAAACACTTAAATATTAGGAGGTCAGTACTTATTAATTTAATGGAAGAAGTTACACATCAACTGTTCTCCATTTCGTAAGAGACTTTAGCTAGTAGAAGAGGGAGGGGAGGGTGGACTGGACAAAGGAAGGGTGTTAAAGAAATATTGAAATCCAAACAATTCCATTTTCATCCTGATGTCAGCTTTACGATGATAACCACACTGAAATGAATGCTGTGTGTCCTACTTCCTGACTCAGCCAGTGCAGGGTTAGGAAAAAGGAGGCGTAGCGACTCCCATATGGGCACAGACTTCTCCACACAGCCTACTCCCATGGCAATAGACTCAGTGTCCATCTATAGTGGGATTTAAACTCATTTCCACACAGAGTAGTCTGGGAAAACAGGGCACAGCAGGAGGCCAGAAGAGGAAGAAAAATCATCAGTAGCAAAACCTCACTGGGAGAAGGTATTGAAGCCCAAAGGCTGGTCCTGGAGACAAAGAGGGCTGACAGGTCAGAAGAGAAGTCAAAAAGAACTTTTACCCATTTTCTGGTCCTTAGAGGTCACCTGGGCCAGAGCCCCACCCCCACCCCCTTTCTTCCCAATGAGCCATGAGCTATATACTCCATGGAGTCTTAAAATTTAGGACCCAATGTGAGGGTACAGCGGAGCTTGCCAGTGGGGCAGCGGGCCCAGGAGAGCGGGATAATGGTCCCCTCCTCTGGCCACGGCAGCCTCTGCTCTTGATGCCAGCGTGCCATCCAAGTGTCACCCTCCTCCCCTCGGAAACAGGCTGAGAACAGCCTCACGCTTGGTTTCATGCTCCACAATTGCCATCTTGAAATTCTTAAACATAATTTTTAAATAAAGGGCTTTGCCAATTATGTAGCCAGTCTGGAGTACAGAACAAGAAAAAGGAGGAAAGGGGAGAAGAAAAGACATTCAAGGGTCAAACTGAACCTCAGAACGATACAGCAGGAGACAGTGCTAAACTGAGTTCCAGGGCAGAGGGCGTGACCAAATCAAAGATTGAAAAAATAAAAAACTCAAAATAAAATCAATACCTTCCACTCGGTATCCTAGAGTGCCCTCTGCCACACTATAGTGTTTCAAGTACAACAGTTCAGAAAAGGGTGAGCTAGAGGCAGGGGCAGCAAACATGACTGAACAGAGGGAGGGTTGGGTGTGAACACAGGGGACATGTGGAGAAACAGGGTTTGGTCATTGAGCCTCATGAGCTACTGACCCTGCTACATGTCTGACTGCAACCAACGGGGTTGCCCTGACCAGCCACTTGGTCTCGGGAGGATCAGGGGGTGCAGTTTTTTGTTTAGTGTTTCAGGGGCAAAGTTTCAAGGATTTGCTTTTTGGTTTACTGGCAAAAAGGGAATACTTCACAGTTTCAGGTTAAGTATACAGACTACCCAGCATCCATGATGCCCTCTGTTAAGGAAAAGGGTTTGCCCAGCATACTCGCTGGGTTCCAGTACCAGCTCCCTCAAACCTGGCCATTCAGAAACCAGTCCTCACCAACAGTCTGGGAGGGATCGCTCAGGCTTGAAAAGCTTAGCAAACACTCGACGGTAGTCTTTCACACACATTCCTCCTTAAATTTCTATAGGTCAGTGTGGGGAAAGGAGAAGCTAGTCAGAGATGAAGAGTCTCAGCACTGCTTTCCTGACAAGAATGTCCCCTGGGAGGATTCACAAGTTGGGTTAGATGTGAAAAGTGGCCATGTGTACAAGTCCCTTCATGTAGTGGTCACCCCAGCAGAGAGCCATGCACTCCAAGTCGGAGGCTGTGTAAGTTCAGGGCTGGGGAGAGAGGCAGCAGGTGCACCAAAGATGAAGCTCTGGTTTGCCTCTATGTCTCAATACAGCTTTCCGAGTTCAGGAGGGATGAGAAAATGTGCAAAAAGGTCCTTCATGTGACTTGGTCCCCGCAGCCTGGTCCCCAATCTACTCCATTACAGGATGGAAGGAGGAGGAGGAGGAGGAGAAAAGGGCTAGGAATTTAACAAGCCCCAACTTTCTAGGACTTACATCAATTGCCTAAAGGGTTCCCTGGGTATATTCTGTAAGAGCCTATCTGGGGAGAACAAAAAGAATTTGCCCTGCTTAAAGGCTTGAAACGTTCTCCCCCAGTTCTAGCCTATTTCCCAAACTTCTGGCCAGGATTCTCCCCTGGACATGGCTCCTTGCTGGGGAGAAACTCATTTTCCTGAAGTCTCTTTTCCAAAAGAGATGCTGGGTAATATGCATACAAACATAAAAATAAATAAATATTAACGTCCAAAAAGGCTTTGTGAGTTCATTAAAACCACTAGCTTGTGAAACAGCCCGGGGTGCTGCTGAGTCCCACCAGGAGCAGTGTCAGGGCCTCGCTCAGGGACTCCCAGCGCTGGCCTGAGCAGGTGAGGTAGTGTGTACTGAGGTGAGCCAATGAGTACGTGAGATCAAGGGCCCTCGCATTCAAGCCTTCTTTGGGCAGGGCCCCCTCAAAAGCCAACTAACAACAAAGCCCCCAGGGCTGGGCAGAAAGGTTTCCCAGTCACCGAGGGCGGGCCTGGCCGAGCTGTCAGCCAATAGCGCCCACTGGCGGCAACACAAAGACAGATCAGGATAAATTCCAGCAGGTCAAGTCAGCTGCCAGAGCTCCTGCCCAGTTGCACAAAACAGGTTACCCAACCGGGACAGAGAGGCATCCCGCTACACACCACCAGCCATCGGTCCCTTTAATCCTAAAGGGCTTCCAGTCCATCACTCCACCTCATGGGGTCTTCTCATCTACACTACGGGTCAAACACACTTCTAGGCGAGAGACAGGATATAAATTAAGGCAATGCTGCTGCTGTCAGAGACAACCCCACTTCTCCAACAGAAAATTCACGGCTGATGGAGGCGGCCAGATGGCACCTGACTGACTCTATCAAATGGCTCCCTGTCCTCTTTGCCCCACAGGGAAGGCCTGATGTCCTGGGCCATCACTCCATGAAATCATGTTTCTTTGGAATTGAGGAGAAAAGAGAAACCTCCCTTCCTGCCCATCCAGGCTGCCACTTCTGGTGGCCCTGCAGGACCTTTTCTGGTGGCCCTGGCCAGGATTCATCCCAAAGCTTTCTGATCTAAATAGAAAGCTTTAGTCCTCAGTTTGGATCTAGCTTCCAAAAGATTTTACTGTCCAGTCAGCAGATTAGAGGCATGGAACAACAGGCACCTCTATCCCTGTTGCCTTTTCCCTGCTGAGGGCCGGGAGGGGAACCTGAGGTGAGCTGCTTGCTGACTAGTCTTTTCTAAATGACCACACTGCCAAACTCTCTCACAGTTGGTGGTCCCCGATGGAGGTCTGGCATTATACCCACAGTGAAAACTCTCTCCACCTCCTCTCTTCAGTGAAGCTGTTGGTTGGGTTCTTAGCAGCATAAAACTCGAGAGGCTGGGGAAGGGGATCTAGTTGACACTAACTGCCTGACGAGATCCCAAGACCAGCCTCAAAAGAATAAAAAACACAGCCCTTCAGGGGCAAGAACAGGTCAGGAGGTAAACATGATAGGGCTGCTGCTTCTCTAAAACAGTAACAGCTCATGTGCTATTCTTTTTTTTCTTCTTTAAACGCAAGACAGAACAGAATTCCCAGCAAGGCAAAACTGTAACTTCGGCTAGGGTGGGATGAACAGCCTCTAGAAAGTCAATGTCCTGGCTGCCACCTGGGAGCTCCCCTTGGCTCCGGTGGGACCCAGTCAGCTGTCCGGGCTCTTTTCTGCCTCTTTGGAATGGATAATGTACATGAAGGTCTGCTCAATGGTGAAGTCGGGCGGGAGGCTGCCTTTGTGCACACCCACGTGCTTGCTCATGAGGTTCAGGGTGGAGCTGTAGTGGCCACAGACTGTGCAGCGGTACATGAGGGCCCCTGAGTGCGTCTTCAGGTGGCACTTGATGGTCGAGCGGCCTCGGAAGAACTTGTGGCACACCTTACACTGGTACGGCTTCTCGCCCGTGTGGATCCGCCGGTGGTAGTTAAACTCACTTGTGTGGGCAAATCTTTTGCCACAGACCTTGCAGCTATACTTGCTGTTCCCAGGTTGGCCCTGTAAAGCCAGCTCCTCGCTCAGGAACTCCTCTGCCGGCAGCTTCCTCTTCGGGAGAGCTGGGTGCTGCAGCCCAAAGCCAGGCCGGGGGTCAAGGCCGCTGCTGCATTTGTGCTGGCTGACATGGTAGCGATAGGCAGCCTCCGACTTGAAGCTCTGGCTACACAGGTGGCAGCGGAAGAGGGTGTCTTCCAGGCTTTGGTGCACAGCCATGTGCTTCTCTAGGAGATGCCAGTCCACAAAGCTGTTCGCACAGACAGAGCAGGAGAAGACCGAAATGCCGAGATGGGAGAGCATGTGCCACATGAGGCTGCAGAGGTTGAGGTGGCGCTGGTCACAGACGCTGCAGGCCTGGCCCTTCAAGGTCAGATGGTCTAGGATGTGGCCCCGGACCACGTGGAAATCTTTGGCCAGAGCCTTCCCGCAGGCAGCACATTTCAATTCTGCGGAGGCTGCCCCTGAAAACAAGCCCAGCTTCCCCGGCAGGGGATCATTGGGGTGGACAATGATGTTGTTCTCAAATATTCCATCCCGTCGGTGGAGCGTCAGCTGCCACTGGGTAAAGAACTTAGTTTCACACATGTCGCAGGAGAAGAGGAAAATACCGATGTGAGACAGGACATGGGTCACCCGGGAGTTTCGGTCCTGGAAGTGGGTCTCGCACACCTTGCAGTTGCCTGTCAGCAGGTCCACGTGGTCCCGAGCATGCTGTCGGATCAGTTGAATGTTGGGCTCTAGAACTTTCTTGCACACCTGGCAGGGCATGGCCTTATTCTCTCGGTTGTCATTGTCTCCAAAAGTCAGCTCATCCTCACTGTCATCACTCAACTCAATCACCTCCTCAGCTGTGCCGATCTCCTCGGTGGGGTCTTCAAACTGCAAGTCGTCATCCCCCAGGTCCTCCAGCTGGAGGTCATCCATCTGCTCAAAGCCTGGGTCTTTGGAGTGGTCGCTATTGCTCAGACAGGAGTTGGTCCCAGTGGTGATGTCTATCGCATTGTCCGGGGGGAAGAAGCTGTTTTTACTGAAGTCTCCATTGCTCTGAAGCTTGTATGGCTGGCAGGAGCTTGTGCTGGTTTGGATGCCCATGCTGGCAGTGCCTAGGGCTGGCTGGGTCACCACATTAGGTACAGATGTGAAAGGAGCAGGATTATCATGGTCCTCTGTCTTTGGCGGCAGTGGCTGCTGTGGCAGGGGCAGGCTATGGTTAGAGTCACTGGTAACATTTCTCTCTTCATCTTTATAGCTTCCTCCAGCATCACTAGGTAAAACATAGTTTCTATCAGGACCAAAGTGCTCCCCGCCACCCCGGAGTTCTCCAAGGGGATGGGCAGGTTCTGCTGAGCTACAACTCAGGGTGCCCGAGTGGCTCTCACTGGTGTTGGTCAGGGACTTGGCCACGGCGGTGCTCTCCAGGTCAGGGAAGGTGGAGTGACAGGCCCGGAGGAGGTCTTCCATGCCCAGACGCTCAGCGACCTCGTAGATCACCCCAACATTGATCAGGTCTGTGAAGAGCTCAGATGTGTAGACAAAGCTCAGAATCTTCTCGAAGTTGGCAGGAGTGATAAAGTCCACCACATAGGTCCTGGCGGCATCGAGCCCCGTATTCAGGAAGAGGTTCTGGAAGTAGCCAGCCGCGCAGGCCAGCACAGCTTTGTGGGCCGGGAAGGAGCGGCTCCCCACCACGATGGTGACATCGCACATGGTCTCCGAGAGCCGGCACTTGTTGAGTTCCTTCAGCAGGTTGTTGGGGTGGTTGGTGCTTTGTAGTTTGATCCTCATGCCCATCTTAGCAGCTCCTGTGAAGTTGCCTCCTTATCAGCACGGTTAATCTGCGGACAGCAAAGGGAAAAGATGGGTGGCCAAACGCATCCCTGCAGGCGGGGTGCTCTGCAGGAGAAACCACTACCAGTCGGGGTGTTTCTAAGCCTCAGGCCGGGACAGAGTGAACAGGCATGGAGAGCTGCTCCATTCTGCTGAGAGCAAGGACCGCACACATGACAGAACGATCACCCCTCTCCCCACATTGACCCCAATACAGAGCTGTTATGACAAAAGCCAAACCCGCTGAAACAAATCTGATAGCTTGGTCTTTAAGAGAGTCAGTAAGAGAGGCTGTAGCTAGAGGTATCCGCTCGGACACACTCTTACACTTCATGGCCAGAGCAGCTGGCTCCAATGAGTTTCCTCCTACACACAAGCTGTCCTACTTCATCACGCATGTTCTCTTCCCTTACGACGTCAAATGTCATGCACATAAAATCTGCACAGTTAGCAACGCGCCTTTCGCTGCTGGGGATGCTCCCTCCACCTTTTGGTTTTCTAACACTGCGTGTCCTTTCAGTCCCGAAGTAAATCTGCTTGCTCTCGAGTTCCTATCTCTCCACCTGTACTACCTGCCTCTCTCCTCTCCATAACCCAGAGCCGCTCAGATGCTGATCTGCCACACTCCTTGTAAGCTGTGGATGAAGTTAAAACGCTTCAGAGCCCAAAGGAGTCGAGCAAAGCAGAACGCAACTGTGGCATCTTAGATATGCTGGACGCCTGTCCGCCACCCTCTCCAGGTTTCCTGCTCATGTTGACAAGAACTAAGAGATTCACTTGCTGCCATGAGAAAACACCTCACTGTGCAGGTCCAAGACCTGCTCGACACACCTTTCCCGGGAGCCTGCATCCCGAGGGAGGGGCCCCGGTCTGCCGGCTCCGGTCCTGCGCGGCAGCCCCTTCTCCACCCCGCACACTCCACTAACTCCCAACTTTCGCCGGGCGCTCCGGGCATTGTCTGGGTGCCAGCCAAGCATCTCCCAGGCCCTGGCGGCCACACTCGGCCGGCAGCGGGTCGGGGCGCTGGGCAGCCCGAGTGGGGGTCGGCGGGGGCAGGTTCAGAACTTCCGAGGAGGCACCTCCGCCATCCGGGGCGCCGGTCTCCCCTCCGGAGGCCGGATCCGGGAGAAGGGGCATTGGATCGGGCCGGGGCACTCCGTTGGCGGGGCACCCGGCACCTCGGTCCCTCCCTCCCCGAAGAGCCGCGATTCCCCCGGCGACTCGGGAGGGGCGGGGGGGACGCGGGGCGCGGGGCCGCCGGAGGCCAGGGACGGGCGGCGGGGCGGCGGGGAGGGTGGGTCCGGCGAGGGGAGCGGGCAGCAGGGCGCCCGCCGAGAGCGAGGAGGGCCAGGGCGGGGGTCGGGCCCCGGCGAGCGCAACCCTCGGCCCGGCCGCGCTTACCCGGCTCCGCGGGGCCCCAGCACCATCGCCGCCGCCGCCTCACACAAAGGCCCCGGCCCGCCGTGCCCGGCCCGACGAGGAGGCGGCGCCGCCGGCCGCGGCCAGACTCTCCATCCGCCGCGCCGCTCGCCGCGCCGGCCCGGGCCGCCCCCGCCGCCCGGCCCGCAGCGCCCCCCGCCGTCCCGGAGGAGGCAGCGCCCCCCGCCGCTCGGTCGCAGCGCCCCGCCCGGCGGGACCGGGAGCGAGGTGCGCGGGGCTCCCAGCCGCCGAGCCTGGAGGGGGGCCCCGCGCGGCCCGGGACCCCCGCGCGGCGCTGGGACAGCCGGCCGGCCCCCGAGAGCAGTTTTGGGGCGTTTCCCGCCACCCCACCTCGGTTTCGGCTTTTCTGAAGCGCCGATCCGCCAGGCGGAGGACCGCTCCCTCCTCCCGCTGGTCCCGATCCCAACTCCAAGCTCCTGTCCACACTCCGGTCGCCCCCCCTGCTCCCCGGCCCTCCCTCCCCAGGACGCAGGAGCTCCTCGGGCTCCAGGCCCTGCAGTTCCAGCCTCTCTCCTATCTCCCTGCGGTGATAGGCAGCCGGGCGCAAACCCCCACGCAAGCACAGGGAGGGCTCCGCGATTCCTGGATGGATGGATGGATGGATGGATGGACGGACGGACGGACGGACGGGGAGAGAGGAGCACACAGGACGATGCCAGCTGACCTAAGCCGGTGTGGCTGTTCAGGGATCATCAGCTCTTTTGTGTCCCCTTTCCCGCAATCGTACTAACTGGTGGTAGGTTATAATGAAAGCAAACATTCTCCTAAATGCTGCCAAACATGAAATATTTATTAGGAAGGGGGTGTAAAATCTCTATCATCGGCTCAAATAAACTACAACCTGTTCTTGTAGTTTGGGGGCAGGCAGTACCAAACAGGTCTGCAGGGGCTCAGCTGGAGGCTGATACATGAGGCTCCCACCAAGTGCCCTGAAGTGGAACATCAGACAACCAAAGACTCCAAACCTTCAGCAAGACTCTGAGACACTGGGCTGCAAGGCTTGCAAGAGACTTGGGCCTGTTTAGCCTTTCCAGCCACTTTAATAACCTGGAACCTGGAGAGAGAGAGAGAGAGAGAGAGAGAGAGAGAGAGAGAGAGAGAGAGAGAGAGAGAGAGAACACTGCTCCCAAATGGAGTCCCTGTGCTAAATGCACATTAACAAACCAATTGCCGTTTCAGCAATAACTAACCTAATTGCAGTTTCAGCCTCTCCCAGGAATGTAATCTTAACCAGTCAGTCTGGAATTTCCTGGTCAGCACTAGTCAGGTAATTTGCCTGATAGGCCAATGCTGGGCCCCCAGGGGAAGGTGACCTTGCCCCAAAACAGCCCACTCGCCCTCTCTGGGTGGCTCAGTGGTTGAGTGTGAACCCATGAACCAGGAGGTCATGGTGCCATTTCCCATCAAGCATATGCCTGGGTTTTGGGCTTGATCCCCAGTAGGGGGCATGCAGGAGGCAGCCAATCCACGATTCTCTCTCATCATTGATGTTTCTCTCTCTAGCTCTCCCTTCCTCTCTGAAATCAATAAAAATACATATTTTTTAAAAGATTGCAGTTTAAAAAAAAAAAAAAGTACATTCTTGAGAAGAATCAGTCTGATATTCTGAGCCTCTGCATTGGTCCAAGATGGTAATCCTTGAGATGGCACAGTGGTCTGGCTAATGGATGCCAGGTGGCCTGGATATAGGAATATTCTATCCTTAGTCTTTTCTGGGCAATCAGAGACTTATTTGGAGGTTGGGTGTATATCCAGGCATTGATGAAGAACTGGAATTTCAAAACTTTAAGTTCCCAGGCTAGTTAAAACAAGGATAGAATCATTTCCTCATGCTTCAACCTACTTGATTTTAGTAATTTAGCAACTTAACTATAGCGTCTTCATTTTATTTCTTTCTATTCTTCACTGACAAAAAGGGGTCACATACTAAACCTGACAAGCTCAGGGGAGGCCTGCATGGTGGGCCTTTCAAACTCAGAGGCCTATAGGAACCGCATAGGATGGTCTGCAATGAAAACTTGCCAGCCAGGGGACTCTTCCCCCTTCCCACGTGGGAGTCTGTACTTGTTCTCCAATAAATTTCCACCTTTGCTATAATAATAATAATTATAATTATAATAATAAATAAATAAATAAACTTGCTAGCTAAACGTGACTCATGGAGAGCGGTCATGTCCTAGGCCAGTATCTTTCTTGACAAAGGTCAATCTTTGCCTTACCTGAACCTATGCCTTTTTTGCATCTATGATAGCATACCTTTGGAATGTCAGACTAATCCTCTTTTCCCAGACCCCTCAGGGTACAATCTCCCACCAGAACACAGACCACAGGACCCCTCATGGATACCTTGTTCTCCCGCATACAATCTCTATGTGCTGTAAAAGTTACTTATTAACAATCCGTTACCCTCTCTAATGTAAAAGAAGTATTTGTCTCTTCATTTTAGTTTGTATCCAATGTCAGAGGTTTCCCCACCACCACCTCTCCCCGTCTTTGCTTTCTTTGTCTCTTCATTTTAGTTTGTATCCATTTTCCCCCCGCTTTGCTTTCTCTCGCCTCCCTAATCTATCCTCAGCAAATTTCATATAACCCTCCTTGTGCCTCCTCCCTTGATTGTACTGTATAAAATAAGGTACAAAATTGTCATTTTCGGAGCATTTTCTCAACCGTTGATGTTTTGCTTCCCAGAAATTGTCAGTTTGGCTCAAATAAACTCATAAAAATTCTTATAGGTTTGAATGTTTCTTACGTGGAAACGATGTCATGAAGTCTCCATAAAAAGAAGAAAGTTCAGAGAGCTCACGGGTTGGTGACCACTTGGAGGTCCCAGAGAGGAGAGTTCAGAGAGAGCATAGAAGCTCTGCGCCCCTTTCCCCATGCCTTGCGCTACGCGCCTCTTCCACTGGCTATCCCTGAGTGATTTCCTTTTATAATAAACTGGTCATCTAGTGAGCAAATGGGTTTCCTGAGTTCTGTGAGCTGCTCCAGCAAATTAACTGAACCCAGGGTGTAGGTCATGGGAAACTCCAATCTGTAGCTGATCGGTCAGAAGCATCGGTGACAACCTGGGCCTGGATTGTCATCTGAAGTTGGGGGGCAGTCTTGTCAGAATAATCCCTCAACTCATGGAATCTGACATCATCCCTGGGTAGCTAGTGTCAGGGCATGGCTTGTTGGTGTAGGAAAACCTCCTCTACACAGGCTGGAATGGGGTTCGGAACCTTTAGTACTGAAGTCTTTTTCTTTTTCTTTTTTATACTTACATATTATTATTTTTTATTTTTTTTATTTTTAATCAAATCTTTATTGTTCAGATTATTACATCTGTTCCTCTTTTTTCCCCCCATAACTCCCCTCCTCCCAGTTCCCGCCCCACCCTCCGCCCTCACTCCCCACCCACTGTCCTCATCCATAGGTGCATGATTTTTGTCCAGTCTCTTCCCGCATCCCCCACACCCCATTCCCCCTCAAGAATAGTCAGTCCATTCCCTTTCTATGTCCCTGATTCTATTACAATCACCAGTTTATTCTGTTCATCAGATTATTTATTCACTTGATTCTTAGATTCACTTGTTGATAGATGCATATTTGTTGTTCATAATTTGTATCTTTACCTTTTTCTTCCTCTTCCTCTTCTTAAAGGATACCTTTCAGCATTCCATATAATACTGGTTTGGTGGTGATGAACTCCTTTAGCTTTTCCTTATCTGTGAAGCTCTTTATCTGACCTTCAATTCTGAATGATAGCTTTGCTGGATAAAGTAATCTTGGTTGTAGGTTCTTGGTATTCATCACTTTGAATATTTCTTGCCACTCCCTTCTGGCCTGCAAAGTTTCTGTTGAGAAATCAGCTGACAGTCGTATGGGTATTCCCTTGTAGGTAACTGAGTTTCTTTCTCTTGCTCCTTTTAAGATTCTCTCTTTGTCTTTTGCTCTTGGCATTTTAATTATGATGTGTCTTGGTGTGGTCCTCTTTGGATTCCTTTTGTTTGGGGTTCTCTGCGCTTCTTGGACCTGTAAGTCTATTTCTTTCACCAGGTAGGGGAAGTTTTCTGTCATTATTTCTTCAAATAGGTTTTCAATATCTTGCTCTCTCTCATCTTCTGGCACCCCTATAATTTTGATGTTGGTATGCTTGAAGCTGTCCCAGAGGCTCCTTACACTATCTTCGTATTTTTGGATTCTTTTTTCATTTTGCTTTTCCGGTTGGGTGTTTTTTGCTTCTTCACATTTCAATTCTTTGACTTGATTCTTGCGCTCCTCTGGTCTGCTGTTGGGTGTCTGTATAATATTCTTTATTTCAGTCAGTGTATGCTTAATTTCTAGTTGGTTCTTTATCACAACATTGAGGGTCTCATTAGATTTCTTGAGGATCTCACTACATTTATCGGCAGTTTTTAGAAAATTATTGAAAGACCTTAAAAGTGTGGTTTGAGCTCTATAGCTTCCATTTCTGACATCTGTGTCCTGTATCTTTGTCTCCGCATTCTTTTATGCTTTCTTGGTGCAATCCCTAGTGGTCTTTATGCGCAGTCTTGTTGTAGTTAAGCCTAGATTGTTGTAGGTAATACTGGCGGGGATTTGACCTCCAAGCCAACTGGCTGTGAGAATCAGCTGTGTCTGCAGTGAGAGAACTTCTGTCCTCTAGGGAGGTACTAATCTAGCCTTTGCCTGAGGCTATCCGGCAAATGGCTCTGCGCAGGGCTTGGGCGGGGCGGGTCCCCGGGGATCTACAGGGTGGGCAGAGCGAGCAGTTATGGCTGCTCTCAGTCCCATCCCCAGGGGCTCTGCCTCTCCGAGTCCCAGCAACCGCTGCAAACCTCGGAGAGAAAGCTGCCTTCGAGTTCCGACCGAAGCCAGACAGTCCCGCTTCTCCCGTTTGAGTCTGGGTCCCTAAAGACTCGCCCGGATCTGGAGCTCAGAGTCTGCGACTCCCTCCCGATTGAAAACGCCAACCGCGCCCTCAGCCACCAGCCCTCTCAGCGCGCACTCCGCACCTCAGAATTTGACTTCAGCACTGCGCCTCCTCTGAGTCTCGGTATGTGTTTCTCTTTCCTCCTAGTTGTAGGACTTCCACTCAGCCAGCCTTCCTGTGGTTCTGGGTGATGTCCATTCCGTCTTTTAGTTGTATTTTTGAAGTGGTTGTTTGAGGCAGCAAACTCCGGCGTTAACCTATGCCGCCATCTTGTTTCTCCCCTGAAGTCTTTTAAAAGTACATCACCACGCAGTCACAACAGCACCCAGGCACTAAGCTACACGACACGGAGAAGGGCTGCGAAGTCTTGTTGACCAGGTATTTTTGGGCATCAACCTCTTTACTACAAGAGGATGAGGGCCAGGATTACTTCACAAATTCTCCAAGCACAGAACAGGAATCTGATTTAAAATGTCTCCAGCTTGGCCAGTCTGGCTCAGTGATTTATGAACCAGAAAGTCATGGTTCAATTCCCAGTCAGAGCTCACGCCTGGGTTGTGGGCTCGATCTCCAGTGTGGGTTGTACAAGAGGTAGCTGATCAATGATTCCCTGTCATCATTATTATTTCTCTCTCTCTCTTTCTCTCGCTCTCTCCCTCTTTGTTTTTTAAAAATATATTTTTATTGATTTTTTTACAGAGAGGAAGGGAGAGGGATAGAGAGAAACATCGATGAGAGAGAAACATCCATCAGCTGCCTCCTGCATGCCTCCGACTGGGGATGTGCCTGCAACCAAGGTACATGCCCTTGACTGGAATCAAACCTGGGACCCTTCAGTCCGCAGGCCGACACTCTCTCCACTAAGCCAAACCGGTTAGGGCTCTACCTTTCTCTTTGAAATCAATAAAAATATATTTTAAAAATATGTAAATAAATAAATTAAATAAATAAAAGGTGTCTTTTTCCTGGAATCCCCAGTACTGCAGTGTTCCCCAGTACTGCCACCAGAGAGCAGTGTTCCTACATTTTTGCTCCTGTTGGCAAAGCGCTTGTCATCTCAGCACACGTCAGACTCTCAAGTGTGAGCAGAACCAATTCCTAAAGCTGTCATGACCCACATGAAGTCCCCAGCCTGCAAACAATTAAACCCTCTGGATAGATGATTCTGAAAAGCCAACAAGATGACTCGCGGAAGAAAGGCCTGAGGATCTGGGGTGAGGCCATTCTTTGACCTCTAGCAATAAACCTGACGCCAAAGACACTGAGGTGAGCTCTTCCTCCTGCCCAGCCCTACAGTGCAGCTATGGGTCCAAAGGTGCCCAGCCGGGCTCTGGAAAGGGAGAACTTTCATGGGGTGAAGGGACCGCAGGGAGTGGCCTCTGGCTCCATGGCCCTCTCCCTGAGCTGCCTTGCGAGAGCTGAATGTGGACTTGAATCAGGGTAGTTCAGGGGCTTGGCCAGGGCCTTTGCTCCAGGCTAAACTAGGGCACCTGGGGACTTCCCAAGCTGTTCCATTAGGGCACAGGAGCCCCTTGGGACCCACCCGGGGGCTGTGATTGTTAGAACATCAGATTAATAAAAGACACCCACTTACGCCTCATTTAAATGCCTTACATATACTGTGGACTACTAGACTAGCTACAGGCTGGTAACAGGAGCATTGTAGAAGAGTCCGAAATAAATGTTTCCCTCTATAGCAATGAAGGTGGCCACTTAACACTGTAAACTCTGTGTCTGGGTCACATCCCACCACCACCACCTACTGCAGGGCCCATGCTTGACATTTGGGGGCAGAAGAATGACACAGTGCTCGATGCCTCCTCCTCGGTGGCCGGGTCTTCGCACAGCCTTGATCCCCCCTCCCTCCTCTAAGTAGAGTCAAATTCAGAGATCAGTATCGCCCAGGCCCATCCTAGAAATTCAGATGAAGCGCTTCAGAATATGTGTTTTTCTTTATCTGAAGCTAGTTTGTGAAATTCGTTGAGTGCAAGAAACCATCTTCCAAATTCATTTATCGGTGCTTTTAATCACTAAATAATCTCCTGATACCAATTGTATGAAACACTGAGTAAGGCACTGTCAGGAAAATTGCTGTGTACAAAATAAAGATAACTCTAGTTACATATATTTGTGTAGTGCAAATCAGATGTACATATGTAGGTATGTATGAAGTGGTTGGAAGAGTTAAAGAAGAGAAAAAAACACACACCGATCCACCAACCAAACAAATGCATCACTCTAGGCCATATGCAAAAGTCCTTTATTGTTGAGGGAGCCAGGGGAATCTACAGTCAATGCCAGCTGGAACTGGGGGGTCACTGCGCACTGTCTGCATCAGTGCTGGGTAGAGGGATGGGGGAGTCTCAGCACAGGAAGGGCACAGGCTGGGAAGAGAAGGGAAATCGGGGAGCGTGCACCTGGGGATTCGAGGGGGTGACGGCGGGGGTGGGGGGGTGCATTTGTGATGCAGCCAGGAGGACAGAGATGGAGTGCCGAGGACCAAAAAGGGAAATCACATCTTCTGTCTGGAAACACTCCCACCAACCACCTGCTGGGGGAGCAGAGGAGGGAGAAGGGCAGGGGCATCTGTAAGGGGGAAGGAGAGAGAACAGAAGTCTTAGCACAGCTGTCCCTCAGCCTTTGAACTGGAGACTGGACTCTCCGAGCTGCAGGTGCTTGCCCTTTTCCAGCTGTATATTTCTGATGCGACTTATAAACACCTGTGCCCGTGGTCTAGGGCGGCTCCCATAAAAAATGTAGCGACAGCCCTAGCTGGTTTGGCTTAGTGCAGCGGTTCTCAATCTGTGGGTCACGACCCCTTTGGCGGTCGAACAACCCTTCCCCAGGGGTCGCCTAAGACCATCCTGCATATCAGATATTTACATTACGATTCATAACAGTAGCAACTGTAGTAACATTACAGTTATGAAGTAGCAACGAAAATAATTTTATGGTTGGGTCACAACATGAGGAACTGTATTTAAGAGGCCAGAAGGTTGAGAACCACTGGCTTAGTGGATAGAGCGTTGGCCTGTGGACTGAAGGGTCCCGGGTTCCATTCCGTTCAAGGGTAGGAGGCAGCCAATCAAGGAGCCTCTCAACATTGATATTTCTCTCTCTCCCTCTCCCTTCCTTTCTGAAATCAATAAAAATATGTATTTTTAATTTTGCGACAGAAATGAAGATTATATTATCCTAGCATCCCCATGAGCCAGGCATACACACAGCCCTGGTGCTAATGCTCGTCCTCTTTCCAGCACCCGCCCCCGCCCCACCCCACTCCCACTCCCGGCAAGGACAGGCCCAGAGACCACTTCCTTTCTGAGCAGTTTCACATGAATGAAATCAGATGATACAATGATCTTTGCTGATTCATCTAAGCCCTTTAAATGGCAGCCACCAGGGACCGTGTGTCCTCTTCTTCCCGGCACCGTGCGGTAGAGAATGCTCCGTCCGCGGTGAGATTATGACGGCGCAATTATGAGCCCGGTCCCTCTGAAAGAGCCTGGGCTCACCAGCAAGCAGTAAAAGTAGATTTCCACAATGCACTTGTTTCTGCTATTTGTATAAAATACTATGGCAAAAATTGCACTGTAATTATCTTTATGGCTGATGCATCACGCTGGGGGAGAGTATGTCATCCAGATATAGTTGCCCGTGTAATTATCTGGCGGTCGGCAGTATTGAAATAACCGTCTAATGAGAGCAAAATGATACGGCCAGTACCATGTAATCAGTGAGTTACGATCATTATGGCTCTTCGCGCCCTCTCACCCAGCACTGACGGGGCGGGGGGGGGGGGGGGGGGGCGGACCTCGTCTCTGGGCCCAGGGAGCCATGCACAGGCAGTTAAGCGAGAGCCAGCTCCTGGGCCTGTGTCTCCCTTGAGACCAATGAGTGTGGGGGACAGGCACGCCGGCAGAGGGGCCACCGACTCCCTGTGGTCACCGAGCTCATCCTCCCCCCACCGCCTCTGCCTGTGGAGCCGGCGCAGCAGTTGGGCTGCTATTGCTGGGCGTGGGAAGAGGGTGTCCAGGCGGTAGGCTCTGTGTTTTGACTAGACACTTCCCAGGGGACTCACGCTTGCACACCAAGTGCGAGAGCTCAGCCCACGCAGGCCTGGGTCCCTCGCAGACCGCCCTGGGCAGACAGACCGGAGCGGCAGGGGGAGCACCAAGACATTGCCCACACCTCCCAGGCCCAACAGGCATAACAAAGCCTACACAGAGGCTGTGCCCGCACCATTCTGAACACTTCACCTGTGCTCGGTCCTCATGTCCACGCTCCGCCACGCGCTGTCCTCACCCCCGTTTTTCAGGTGGGGAAGGTGAGGCACAGGGGGTTATGGAATGGGCCACGGGAGCCCAACTAGTGAGTGGTAGAGCCAGGATTCAAACTCAGGCCACGCCCTTACCCATTACAGGACACAGAGCAACTAAGATACAGCTTCCAGCCCCTCCCCACTAGATTTCCGGAGTTCCTTGCATTCCTTCCTACATCCCTCTGGAGCAGCACGCCACACTGGGCCCCCTGTAAGTGGAGATTCTGAATAATCCGAACGGTTCAGCCTGCCTGGGAGGCAGGTCACTTCACCTGTGAACTGGATGTGGAAATTGTAATTATCGGGTGACGATCTCTCCATCTTTTGCACAGATCAGGAGAGAACAGAATCTAAACAGAAGTTGCCCATCAGAAAAGCACCAGTATAGGGAACTCATACAACTTAACAAAAGGAAGATAAACAATCCAATAAAAAAAAATGGGCAAAGGACCTAAATAGACACATTTCAAAAGAGGACATTCAGAAAGCCAAGAGACATATGAAAACATGCTGAAAGTCACTAATCATCCGAGAGATGCAAATCAAAACAACAATGAGGTACCATCTCACACCTGTCAGACTGGCTATCATCAACAAATCAACAAACGACAAGTGCTGGAGAGGATGTGGAGAAAAAGGAACACTTGTGCACTGCTGGTGGGAATGCAGACTGGTGCAGCCACTATGGAAGACAGTATGGAGTTTCCTCAAAAAACTAAAAATGAAACTCCCATTTGACCCCATGATCCCACTTCTAGGAATATATCCCAAGAAACCAGAAACACCAATCAGAAAGGATATATGTACCCCTATGTTCATAGCAGCACAATTCACCATAGCTAAGATCTGGAAACAGCCTAAGTGCCCATCAGTAGATGAATGGATTAGAAAACTGTGGTACATCTACATGATGGAATACTATGCTGCTGTAAAAAAAAGGAACTCTTACCATTTGCAACAGCATGGATGGAACTGGAGAGCATTATGCTAAGTGAAATAAGCCAGTCAATGAAAGAAAAACACCACATGATCTCACTCATTTATGGATAATAAAGACCATTATAAACTTATGAACAAAAATAGATACAGAGGCAGAGCAGCCTCGAACAGACTGTCAAACTGCAGCAGGAAGGCTGGGAGGGTAGGGGGGCCAAAGCGGGGGTGGGTAAGAGATCAACCGAAGGACTTGTATGCATGCATATAAGCATAACCAATGGACATAAGACACTGGGGGGGGAGGGGAGGCCAGGGGATTGTCAAGGGCGGGGAAAAAAGGAGACAGATGTAATACTGTTTATGATAATTTAAGCAATAAAACAATTTTAAAAAGAAAAAGAAAAGCACCAGGGGACAGAGATGGGATGAAAACGAGGGCCGTGTGTGTGTGTGTGTGTGTGTGTGTGTGTGTGTGTGTGTGTGTGGTGTGGTGTCTCGGATAAGCACGTGCCTCTAAGTGTTGGTGTGTTTGACAGTGTGGTGGGCAGTGTATTTTAGGGCAAATTTATGAGTAGCAATGCCTGTAGCATCAGAGGCAATGCTTCTCCGGCAGCCTGCATGCACACAGTCCCGCTCCTCCCCGCACCCAGCACCCCTTACCTCATTCCACGTGGGACGGGTACTGGAGGCTGCCGGAGCGAGGGGCGCCCTCTTGGTTCACATCGGCAGGCGTGCCTGGGTGAAGAAAACTGTCGTTAGGGGGGGATCTTTCTGGATGTGACCTTCACCCTGAACAACAAAGAAGGTCTGGCTATGAAGGGCACCCTGGGAGACACAGCTGGGAAGCAGCGGCTTGCTCCGTGCTCGGTGTGGGCGATGGGGCGGAAGCAGAGCCTCCCTAACCCACCCCCCTGCAGCAGGACCATCGTATTATAAAGGTCTCCCAGGGCAGCGGCTCCCAGGGAACACTGCACTGCGGCTCCAAGCAGACTGGGTAGAAAGGGCCCAGGAACCCCCACCGTAGCTGAGAGAAGTCTTGTCTTTCCCTCTGAGGACAAATAGGAGGCTTTTGACTCCTGCATGTCCTGGCCAGTCCCCGAAACCCTGCCACGCTTTTACCTGGCTGGGTGTCCCTCTTGCCCATGAGTCCCACGAAGAAGTCGTGCATGTCACCTGCAGGAAAGGGCCAGCATTGTCCCCCGTGACCGTTGGTCACTGGGCCCCATGCCCTCGGAGCTCTGGGCCAGTGGTTGGCAGAGACAGGGAGGGAGAAGAGGCTACTCACGTTTCTGGAGGAAGGACCGTTTCTTAGGGTCTGTGAAAACAAGAACAAGGGTGTGGGATCTGGAAAGTGGTGATGAGGGGGCTTCAGGTCACAACTCTCCGTTCTTCCCTAAGCCGGTCTCCTCCCACCTGAAGGGGTCTCCCAGGCCAACTTAATCCCCGGAATCCTGCCCCCCACTTCACCCCCATCCCCCCACATCCCTCTCCCTAGGCTGCTTCCTACCCTTGCGAGCCTGGCTCAGAATTTTGATCAATTCGTTCAACACGGAGACCGGGTTGTGGCTAGTGAGCGCATTGAGCAGGGGTCCGAGACTCGGGATCTGCCAGGGAGAGAAACAGGGCTGAGGCAGGAGGCTCACACCCAGTCCACTCACTCTCTTCCCACCAACACAGACTTTTCTTGAGTCAATCACAGCTGAACCCGACACCTCATTTCTTTCAGGATTTCCTCTGATTAGGACGGGAGAGAAGCAGGCTCTCAAAGTCTGTGGTCTGTTGGCCAGCAGCACCAGCCGGGGAATGTGTTAGAGATGCATCATCTCAGTCCTACCCAGGCCTGCTGCGATAGAAGCTGCATTTTAACCAGGCTCCAGGCGACTCCTATGCATAGCAAGATTTGAGAAGCCCTGGTGAAGGGACCCCACGGGGCATCCCTGTAGACCGACCCACCCCTGTTTGCCTAGACTGAAGGCCTTCCTGGGATGTGGCTTTTGCTGCTCCAGGTGAATGATCTGAGGAAAACTGAGACAGTGGCCCTCTCAGGCTGTGAGCCTCTCCCTGAGCCTTGCCCGGCTCCTGCCACCCCTCAGTGAGAAGGGCCCTTGGTTCTTTGCTCCCTGGCACATCAGGAACTGGTTTGCCCAAGGATGGGGCTGTCCTCCTGGGTGAGCAAGGATGGGGTTGCCCCTCCATGACCGCCCCCCCTCACCCCCCCCCCACTCGCAGGAGAGGCCCATCAGACAGAGCAGGTGTCCTCTGATTGTGCTCCATGGCGAGCCACAGACGGCACTCCGCCCTGGGGACGCCTCTGTGACCCTGAAATCCCCGCTCTGTGCGGTGTCTGTGGATGTTTCTCCCCCTGTGTCTCCCATTGCCTCTTGATCTCTTTTCTTCCCCACGGGTGTCTGCCTCAGGGTCTCTTCCCCTCGCCCCTGTCCGCCCTGGCCTCAGAACTCCAGGATGGCAGCATGCTTAGAGTGACACCGCTTCTCCCCATCCTGCAGATGAACCCCAGATTCCAAGCAGGGGCTCTTAATTGTCTTGGTGATTTATTTTTAGTAACTTGGGCACAGCAGGTGGTTGGTGGGCACACCTCTCACCCCAAGCTATTTAGCTGCAGAGACAATGACAATGATCATGATTGGAGATTCTCACTTTGAATCTCAGAGGTGCCTCTCTCTCCAGAGTCCACGTGTCCCTGGGCTGCTGAGCACACACAGAAGCACATTGACACAGGATGCTCTCCACACACACGCCAGCCCAGCTGCCTAGGCACTCATATATCCTCCCCTCTTCCCTCCCCAGTTTCCCTCGTTCTCACAGACCTGCAGGAGAAGGGATGGGACGGCAATCTCTCTCTCACTGACAAAGAGGGGCAGGGACTCGAAGCAAGTTTGTCTCAGAAGAATATACCCAGATATTCTGATGACTTTGAGTTGGGACCTTTGGGCTCTGGACACAGTGTCCAGCCCATATTTGGTATTCTCTATGTGTTTTTGTTTTTTAACTGGTTTTCTAAATTATATTTTATTTTTTTAAATTGATTTCAGAGAGGAAGGGAGAGGGAGAGAGAGATAGAAACATCAATGATGAGAGAGAATCACTGATGGGCCACCTCCTGAACACCCCCCACTGGGGATCAAGCCCCCAACCTGATCATGTGCCCTGACCAGGAATCGAACCATGACCTCCTGAGTCATAGGCTGACGCTCAATCACTGAGCCAAGCCGTGGGGCTGAACTGGTTCTCGTCTTTTGAATGTGGCACAACTACTGCCGCTGCAAGGCTGCCAGCCTATGGCGCCCTGATCCACCTCACAGCCAGAGGAAGGCTGGCCACCTCTCCCTGCCCAGCGCACAGCTTCCTAGGCAGCCACTTCCCCCAAATTGTTCACACACTCTGCCCACTTCCTGTAATGAGATGCTAAACAGACTTGAGCTGGAAAGACAGCTAGACTTCACACACTGAATTTGTAATAAGCTCCACCTATAATCATTGTAAAAGCATTTGTACCAATGTAATCGCTATCGTTTCAAAACCTTAAAACGACTTTCTCCTTGCTCTCCCCCTGGAGGCCTATCCTGACGAGTCCTATTCCTTTTCTTGGAAGAGCTTTGGAAACTAGGGCCTAACCTGTTTTGTGCTTGTTTTTGTTGTTATTTTTCTGTCCTGACTAAGCAGAGGCCGGAGGAGGTCAAGGAGAGGAGAGAGGGAAGGGTTGGGATCTTAGGAGCACCTGAAGTTACAGGGTGGATGAGGGAGTTTATTTGAATTTTGAAAACAAAATAATACACGTAATTGATCAGTAAAATAGCACACAAATGACCATTTGGGGGAGAAATTCTGTGTTTCATAACCTCCAGGGAGTAGATAGAATCCCCTCATCCACCACCACCCCGTGCCACCCCCCCCCCAACACCCCCCCACACACACACACACGCCTCAAAGGAACAGACTCTGAACCTGAGCTGGACCACAGGGAACCTTAGACCAACCTGGCCTCCCCCGCCTACCCCTCGAAGTACCACCTAATCACCAAGCCAGCAGTCAATCCGATGGGTAGGGCACCTGTTATATACAAGGTGTCAAACCTGTGCAGAGGGACAGAGATCCTTACAGACATTCCCAAGACAGTGAGCTGAGCAGAGAGGCAGGGAAACCCAGCCCTCTGACAGAAACCGGTAACTCCCAACCCCCCGGCCGCCCCTGCACCACCGCACCTGCCCCTACAGCTTTTGGAACCAGCAAAGCTGTTGCTCCCATGATGTTGCCCAGGACTCTGCCAACCTTGGCCCAGCCGGAGGGGTACCTTACCTTCCTGTGGTCCGACCTGGGTACCACCTGCTCCTGTGGCTCCTTGCAGACGGCCCCAAGAACCAGGCAGAGGGCCAGGCTGGCTGCCAACAGCAGGGCGCCCCGCATGGTGCTAAGAGTGCAGAGAGACAGGAAGGGAAGGCGGGAGGAGGAGGACATAAAACGAGGGGGAACATTCACCACCAGCAGCCTAGCTGGACCCTGCTTCCCAGCCCCCGACTCCCCTGCCCCAGCCCTGGTCTGGGGAGAGTATCTCCGAGCAGTGGGGACGTCCCCTGGGCTTGGTTTCGCTGCTCCCCCATCAGACATATCTCCCCAGGATGTGCACCTGGCAGCAATGAGCAACGGTGCGACGGTGCCGGGACTCTAGGCTCCAAAGGAAGAGGATGGATTTATAGGACGTGTAGGGGTCTGTTTCCTAACTCAGCTGGAGAGGGGTCCTGGACTCTGTTTTCCAGCACTAGGCAACCCCTAGCCTTAGGCAAAACTTTCTCGTACAGAACAATCAGCCCGCACCCACAGGCTCCAAACATCACTGCCTCTCAACCCCTTTCTTTCTGCCTTCTCACTTCCCGGAGCCCTGATCAAAGGCGGACCAAATTCGGCCACTTCCTTTATTTCTCCTGCCTCTGGCCCCTGTCCTTCAGTGCCAGCTTCAGTCCTTCCCACCTCCTCCCGCTCGTGCCTACCTGTGGATCAGCGTGGAGCCTACAGCTGATGGTGGAATCAGGGAGCTGGCGGGATTACTGCCCTGCTCCCCACAAAGCTGGTGCTGCTGCTGTGAAGAGAGAAGCGGAGAGTGGAGGGGATCTGGGAATGCGGCAGGATCTCGGGCTCGGCTCCCTGATAAAGGCTCTGGGAGGGTCTGGGGGAGCCGGGGGAGGGGCCGAGAATCACCAATCCCAGGATGGCTGGAGGGGAGGGGAGAGGCTGGTGGGAAGGAGGGTCTAGGCTGCAGCCACACACACACACACACACACACACACACACACACCACAAACTCTTCAGTGCGCTGGGGTTGCCCAGCAGCCCACTTGCCAACAGCCCCTCAGCGGGGCATGCTAAGGAATATTGGTGTGTGGTTTGTCACAAAATTTGCATGCCAGGTCCAACTCAATAGGTGTGGTCCCGGGGCCTCTTGGTCCTCCTTGCTCACGCCCCCAGATCCTTGCGTTTTCAGCCTTCAGATTAGATTGCCAGGCAGAACAACTCCAGGGGGTGCTTGACTGGCCCTCCACCCCCAGGACAACCAGGACAGCCAGGGGCAGGCCCCTGAGGGTGGGAGGTGCTCCTGGCATCCCCTCGAGTCCTCGTTTCACCCTGTGTTCTCCTCTCAGCTGGGGTGGGCCTATCCCCTCGTCCTCCGATCAGCTGAGGGTCAGTGCTCCTCCTGCTACTGAATGCAGAGACCTCCTAGGTGTCTGGCTCCATCCACCACTGCCCCAAGCCTCGTGCCTCTCCCCTCGGGCGCCCACCCCACTCTTGCTTGCCCTGAGTTAGCCTGACTTAGTTGCATCCTTCTAGAGTTCTAACTTCTGGACCTCCTAATCTCAGAAAGGAAGAATACCACCACAGTTCCATCTGTGTCCCTGGGGTTCAGGCACCTTCTCCCTTCACCTCTCAAGCCCTTGTTCACGGCCCACCCTGTTGCGGGGCCCATGCTGTTTATCTCACACCCAAGGTAGAGCCAGCGTCGTGGGCAGGATCCAAAGGAGACCCAGGAGAAAAGGTGCTGCTGAGAGAGATCAGGGAGCGGCCAAGCGAAAGCCGCTTCTGAGCCACTCGTCACTTCCATCATTGACAGTGGGAGCAGGGTTTAAATGTTTGCAAGGCTGGCACAGAACAATTCATTCGATTTTCGTCACCACCCCCATGTGAGTAGGAAATATTCCCATTTTTCAGATGAGGAAATGGAGGCTCCAAAAGTTCAGTCACACGCTCCAGGACATACAAGTACCGGAGAACAGCCTCAGGCTCAGGTTTTGTCACGCTAAACCTCCCCGTGGCGACCACCTCTCCAAGAGACTTGGCGATTTGGGACCTGGTACTCTTCCACATCTTGAGACTGGGGAGTGCCGCAACCTTTTACGGCGGCGGTTCAGGATCTGAAGAAGGGGCTGACCGACGCACAAATGAAAACACGAGACAAGAAATATGAATTTACAAGGCATGGGGGCCAGGTGGAGACCTCTCTCTTGTGTTAGAAATAAGGCGAGCCCCAAAATCCAGGGGTCCTGGTAGAACACAAATCATACTCGGGAGCCCGGCAGCAAAGCAAACATCTTTCATGCTCTACAGTGTCTAGGGGAAGACTAATTTGCTGTTTGGTCAATGCGGTTTCGATTAACCCGTGGATAAGACCCCCCTCCCCCCTCTACATGGGATGATGTGACATCCCATCACTGTAACTTCTAATCAAAGGGGTGAATGTGGACACCATCTCTCTAGTGCAGTGATGGCGAACCTATGACACGCGTGTCAGAGGTGACACGTGAACTCATTTCTTTGGTTGATTTTTCTTTGTTAAATGGCATTTAAATATATAAAATAAATATAAAAATATAAATCTTTGTTTTACTATGGTTGCAAATATCAAAAAATTTCTATATGTGACACGGCACCAGAGTTAAGTTAGGGCTTTTCAAAATGCTGACACGCCAAGCTCAAAAGGTTCGCCATCACTGCTCTAGGGCATCAAAGAAAGGACCCTCGGTCCCAGGTTCCAGCTCACTCATCAGCTATAGCTGCCAATGCCTTAGGGCCTCAGTGACGGTCCGTCTGTTGTGTTGTCAGGGATGAATGTACAGCAACGGCCCCCAAAATTACACATATTCCTCCTTTTTCTGCCAGAATCAGATCCAAGGCCAACCTGTTCTCCCAGGTCATCCTGCTGGTGGCATCTAGCTGTTCACTATCCTTTTAGCTGCGCCTCGAGTGTAGTTAACGAGCCTTTGCTGTTATAGTAAGTACAGCTAATCCACCACATTCCTGTTCACAGTGGGCTGCCAGCACAGGACAGACTCAAACTCTGCAGCAATCTTATTTCTAGCCTTAAGCTCACCTGCCACTCCTCCTGGAACCCCAATGGGACCTGTGTGTATATGGGGATCAAAGGGGTCCCCTGGACTCTCTCCTCTTCCTGGTCTGTCTGTCCATTGAAAAAGGTTTACGATAGGCTAATGTGAAAGGGATAGCCAATTGTATCAGAGCGCAAGGTCCACTCCAACTGCTGAGCAAGGCCCAAGGAAGGGTCCCATGACACCACCAGACATCAGCACAGGGTATCGACAGTGCAGCATGACAGGCTCCTGCGGATACTCCACCACGGACGCATCCGGATAAATTTCTCAAAAATTCCGAGCACTGTTTCCCCCCTTGAGAGGCAGGAGCTATAGTTTACGTTGGAGGACGGGGCTGGATCATTCTGGGGGTCCTTGCTCTTTACTCTGTTGAACGGGAACAACAGGACGAGAGTCTTACAGGAAGCGTTTCCCCAGGTGGTTTCCTCCTGGTACAAGACAAGCACACATTCCATCCCGTTACTGTCTGAGGTCCATCCGAGTGGAAATGGGACCACTTGGGCCTCTAGCCTTCCTGTCACGCAGGTAACAGTCACTTTTATTCAGGGCATGTACAGAATATTTAATCCATTCCACCCAGGCATTCGTGCCCTTATATCCTACTTCTGTTTGCATGGTAGTGGCAGTGGCCTAGGAGATCTTGTCCTGTGACACCTACTCCTAAATCTAGTCCTAGCCAATCTTTTGAGCTAAAGGCTGAAATATCCAAGTCATTCAAGTTATCTGTAATCAATAACTTAACTGGGTAAGCATGATCCAGATTGTACTCATTTCTCCAGCCCACATTTTAAGCCCCTGCAATTAGCCAGATCCCTAAAGCAAATAGAGCCCAGTACATGATGGTTATTAAGAGAGTTCAGTTTTTAGTGTCAATTTCAAGGGGATGTGTCCTGGTATGGCTGTCCAAGTTGAGGTGTGTCCACCCTTAACCCGTGTGTGATGGGTCCAGTCTCGCTCTGCAGTCTGAACAGCAGTCTCTGTGGTAAGCAAGACAGGTAAGGTCCTTCCCAGGAGGGTTCCAACTTGCTTCCCTTCCAAGTCTTGATTAGAGCATAATACTCTGGTCAATGGCAATGAACCGGAAACTCAAGAGGGCTTTGGGTCAGGAGGCCTTCTAACCTCAGAGAGATTAGAGTAGAAGAGATACCCAGTACATCGTTCTTAAGAAATTGGTCCCTAGTTTCCACTGTAGGAAGATCTTGAGGCATTCCAGGGCCTATTGGGATCGCCTACAGACAACTGTAGGTAAAAACAACAACACTTTTCCTCAAATTCAAACCCTAGGAAGGATGTCAAACTACTGTTTTAATATTTCATTTTCCCTGTTCTGCTTGTCCTGGCTTACTGGCCTGTATCATTTAATCAATTTCCTTTTATAAACTTCTTATAACTTCCACAGACATTCTTACAACTTTCAAAAACATTTTTACAACTTCCAGAAATAACCACCTTTAGAAACTACCTCCTTTTTCCTTCAAAATGCATAACCATGCCTCAGCCCTTCCATTAAGTATTTCTACTCTAATATTCTTTCTTCCTGTCATACCATCAGCAACTTGTACAGGCCTTCTCTCTTTTTTTTTTTCTTTAAAATGTATTCGAATTCTTCATTCTTAGAAACCTTAATTTTTCAATGATTACTAAAAAGTAAACAGCCAGCGTTTCTTAAATTAACATTTATGAACGTACTTTAAATGCACTTTTACTTTCAAGAAAATATACCTTCAACAAAGTACAAGAGACCTTTAGTGATAAAAACTAAGAGCAGGCAAATTAAAACGTGTCTAGCAATTACTGTTTCCTTTTTAAAAAAATATATTTAGATGTTTATCATTTAATCCAGCAATGCTCCAAAGCCTTTGAGTTACCACAGACTTTGGAAAATTATGTATAGGCATATGAGGCTAGAGGCAGGAGGAGGAGGAGGGAGCAGGCTGTTCCCAGGCCTCTAGGCGCTTGGATTTAAACTGCCAGATTTTTCCTTAGAGATAACATGTTAAGGTTACTGCTGTGGCCAGCCCTTCCCTAGGCCACTTGTTTTAAAATTGTGAATATTATGTTAGTTTTCTCTTTTTGCCTGTCTTATTTTATGTACATAGATCTTCTGAGCCTCTTTTAACAGCTTTTCTGCACTTCTATCCTTCTAGTTCTCTACCTTTGCAGTTTTCTTGAAATGTCAGGCCAACTATTGGTGACAAAATGTAACTTGTATTATTTCTTGGCCCAACAGGTCCTCAGGGGCTGGCCCAGAGCACTTTCTCATTTGATGTTTTAGTCTTGGTAAATTCGGAAGGCCCATCTTTGCCTTGCTGAATATTGAAGGCCTTATTCAGGTTCTGAGTCCCACTGGGGCTCCCGGATTTGGAAATCTTACATCTGCTGGAAGCACACCAGGGCCAGCCAGGTGCTCCCTTTCCCAGATAGCCATCGCCAACTTTCAAATCATTCCCCTGGTTGCATAGGAAGGGGAAGGCAGGGCAAGGGTCTCATTCCTGTCTGTCCTTATTCTCTTTTAGGCTTTTTTTTTTTTTTAAAACAGGCTGGCCCCTTCCTCCAACAGAGAGCACAGTCTCCTCTTGAGTCATTGGACTTTCATTATTAACATATTTGTAATTATTACTGAAAAGGTTTTATCCAAATTCTTCATTTTAGTTACATTTACTTATTATATCTTAACAACTTTGAGATTTTAAAGCCAATTATTACCTAAAGCATTTTCTTGACCAATAACTGTGATTGCTCTTTCTGTTCAA